CATCGAAGTAATTTGCCGTTGGTGGCGTGCTTGTGTATTCATGTTTTAGCAATGTAACATTTGACATCCCAATTTGACTAATTGTGCGTTCTCTCAAACACATTATAAGATGTTTAATTTAGTTTGATGACTACGTGGACGATTATGTGAAAACTTTGCTAGTATGAGAAATAGCCATGGAATTGTTAAAACACACAATGAAAGTACTACATTGGTACTAGGATGTTTTGCAGGCGCTTTTCTTGGAAAGGTTCAGTGAGTGTGAAAAAAAATGTGTTCAAAGCTCACAGAAAAACTTCGTATAACAAGCTTCTTCTGGTTGAGTGAGATCATACTTTTCTGATCACTTAGTCTGTTTAGAGTTTTGGATAACACTGGAAATGTTCAAGCGTCCACACCGTTCTCTGCACACATGAAATAATAAAAAGATAACTGTGGCACAGACTGACTCAAACTGACTGAGTCTTGGCTTGGAGTATAGACATTTTTTTATATACACCACTATATGAATTAATTTGCCATTATTTTTACGGAATAAACAGGTTACTATAGCAACATATTAACCGCCGAGTGTGAACCGTGTTCTTGGTGTCTTTCAACTGATGAAAACATATTGCAAACGAGAGTGCCAGAATGTGTTACACAAAACATGCCAAGACGCTTTCAGTGTCGCCATGATAACACTGTTGAAGGATGTTCCAACTTATACAGACTTGAGCAGTAACATCAGCAGATACGGTAAGTATGGAATTAGCGATATTCTCAAGACCAGTCAAGTATTAAATGACGTAGATGGGTAAAAAGCAATGTCGTTAAACTGTGTTTTATTGTAGGTGTTCGTTATTTACAATATAGTGAAATTTCCCCGAAACGTAATTTTCATTGTTGCACAACTGTGTCAACAGATCAAAACCACAATGGCGCTTTAGACAACCTCTGTGTTACCTGTTTACGTCATAGAAATGCTTAGTCGATAGAGGGCGTCCTGACCTTGTATTATTTGTTGCTATTTGCAAAGCCTGTACATTCTAACATTCACCACGTTTGCTTGCATGCTTTAACAAAGCTTATTCTTATTTTTTCCTGCTCCTTTTCTTAAATTAACGCACAAATATCCGTTAACGCAATGTACGCAATTCCACAGGTGATAAGGATTTTGTCGACTCCGAGCTACCCAAGTTAAGTCACTATCACTTCTCGGTGCCATCAGTAGTCTTGTCTGTAATAGTGATATGTCTTATCACCGTCGTATTCGCTATCATTTCCGCACGTCGATGTAAGCAATACAACAACTCAAAGAAGGGATACGCCAGCATTGATGACGTCACCACATCTGATTACTTTGCTGCTACAGAAGACGTAAACATCAACATTCGCGTAAACCCCTTTGACGCAAGTAGAATGCCCGAGGACGTCTCGCCCACTGACTACACGATCTGGGACGCATCGAACCACGTACCTGGGGCATATGCCAAGGACACCGATAAGTGTGTAGAAATCAATTCATCGATTTCAAATTGACTGTAAAATATCAGGGATGTAAGATATCGTATCAAGTTTGAAATTAGTTAAACGAACTATATATGTGATGAAGTAACTAAAACACCGACCTTTATTCTGTTGGTAGATCATTCGAAATATACCGGTATATATTATATTATTTCCCCTCTGAAGTATGAGTCGTGAAGAGTGAAGCCTGCTAGAACTTTTGAAAATGTCATCATAACACGTCAGTGTCTACTGGTTCTCTATGTTCAATCATAGAGCTATAATTATTTGGTAACAAAAACAGCACTCTGTGATATTATTGACAGAAAACGTTTTACGAACAGTTCTCTCGAACACAGTTGACCTCGTGTGAAAATTCAGGATCACGAATTATTAAGCACAATGCAGTATATATATATTTTTAAACCTATGTTACCGACCTACAATTGGGGATATGGCGTAATATTCCAGTCATATTAAGCATTGGAACAAATGTTGCTGGTATTCATGTGTATGCTTCTACAGTTAGGTAAAATGAGTTGGTTGAGTGACTGGATATTAAAGTTTTTATATTTTGTTTTACGTAACCACTCAAAATAACAAAAAGGTAAACCTTAATATTAACTTTCTTATATTTGTGTGATTAATACAATGTTGTCCGACAAGGAGAGCTTCTCTGGCACAACTCAGAACGAAAATATTTTCCCTATATCTATAGCTACTTGCTAGGTAAGGCTCATAAGTAATAATATACAGACACACAATAGTTGATGTTGTTAAGACCCTGGCCCTGACCAAAATACGAATGGCTGATAACTTTATTTTTTACAATAACCACATATCAGTTTTCAAATGACGTGTTTTATGATGAAACCATGTTTAAGTTTGTTTAATATGTTTGTAATTCGAATGTGATAATAAATAAAGTGTGTATTTTTGAATAATCACTTCTACAATACAAAATGTATTGGTGGGGTCTAAGCTACGCTTAAGAAATACGGAGCGTAAATCGCAGAGAAGCTATGCGTAATCCAGATGATACGAATCGTCATGCGTTTGGGGGGCATGGCCCCCCTGCCCTCCTCTGGATCCGCCACTGCATCTGATGGATTTGTGCGTTGTGCTGTTTTGAGTTTTTCGCAATCTCACGCGAGTTGAGCTGTTAATTGCGCAGGAATTTCGCTATCTGGTCTCTGATTGTTAGACATGCTACCGACAAATTTAAAGGGAAAAACGACACGACGTGGCACCAAAAGCGCCCTCATTAGACCTCGTTTATTTTATTCAGCTTCATTTCACTTTCACTTTCGTAGTACTTTTGCTTTGTTGCCTGAAAGTATTGTGAAAGATGAACGCGATAGCTTCAATTCCTTTCGTTTGAATATATATTTTTACGTGTAATGCGATTGAATGGACACATTTGCAGTCTGAACGGAATCCTTTCAAGCTTAAAGCGCGGTAGTCGTCGCGCAGCGCGTGTTCGAATTTCATGTAAACATTGTATTTTATACGCGTTCTGTACGTCGCTATGAGTCCCATATCGAACTGGACGCGGCGCGACGACCACCGCCCTTTAATATGATGGAATTCTCTGTGGCAACCGATAATTAGGTTTATCGAATTTTGTATTTTATCTGATATCGCCTCTTGTTTAAAAGACATTTCCACAATATGATTTGTTCTTGCTGTTTTCATCCTAGAAGACGCATTTTCAATGTTGTCGCTAATGCAGGACCAATGAGAACATTAATCAACATTTTTGTAATCTGAATGCTTATATAGACAAGAATCATTTTGATATTGTTTCCCGATTGTTTAAGACCAGAAAAAAACAAATATTTTGTTTTCCGAATAAAGTGTGCCGTTGAATGGTAAAGTTTTGGTCGTCAATAGGTCAACCAACATAATTTTGATGGTCGGGAGATTCAGTTGCCGGTACTTCACTTACAAATTTAAAGAAGTAATTAAAGCTCTTTCCTACAGCTATGCACCACTACACAACAAACCGTTATGTGATATTTAAATAACTCTTGCTTGTGAGGGTAATATCACGATTTGTTGCCTGCCCAAGGGATGGTCGTCATGACCATGATATTGATGATATCAGAGACGAAGGCGAGGGCATTATCACTATAATGGTCATGACCAACAGCTCGAGGGCAGACAACAAATCGTGATATTGCCCGAATAACCATGTGTTATTCAATTTATCACATCGAACAGACATCAACCATGCACAAACACATCTACTATACATCACTCAGGCCCATTTATACCCCCTCCCAATCACCAATCACCAAGATTTAAAGAGGGAAATCACCAATCACCAGGAATTCCAATTCCCTATTCACCAATGACCAGGAATTCCAATTCCCTATTCACCAATGACCAGGAATTCCAATTCCCTATTCACCAATGACCAGGAATTCCAATTCCCTATTCACCAATCACCAGGAATTCCAATTCCCTATTCACCAATGACCAGGAATTCCAATTCCCTATTCACCAATGACCAGGAATTCCAATTCCCTATTCACCAATGACCAGGAATTCCAATTACCTATTCACTAATCACCAGAAATTGTTGTTGAACATAAAAGCATTTATTGAAGATATTTGACATTAACTTTGATTGCTGGTCAGACATAGTAGTTAGACATACATTTAATTTCTTAACTGATCTTTCTGTTTGAAACTATCTATCTCCTCCGTTTCTAAACTGCTGTTCTCGTCATTACTGTAGTCGTTCCTTTGTGCAACAGTTTCCTTAGTTGCTTTCTGTTCAAGTGCCAACCTATCTTGCACCGCTTCTCTTTGTTCAGCAATTCATAAAATTCACTTCTTTCGTG